CCTGAGTCACACCACACCACCACCACTACAATCAGCACACAAGAATACAGGCCAGTGTAACCACAATCAGTAGTGGTACACGCACCCACACAGAACTGCTGCTACTGCTGCTGCTGTCTGCATCACCCTTCTTGTTGTTTGTGAGTTCAGGAGGAAGTGTTGTTGTTGTTGTTGTTGTGGTGGTGGTGGTGGTGGTAGTTGAGGAGTTGGCACTTCCAACATCACCTTCTTGGGTACTTGTTGCTTCCGTCCCTTCAGATGTACGTTCGTTCTCATTCGATACGGCATTAGAACCAGCATCACCCGCTGGGGCTGTACCGTTAGGAGAAGATGGAGGTTGTGATGTTTTACTTTCACTGCCTTCACTGTTTCTGCTGATTCCAGTGTTAGGTGCACTTGCAGGTGCCTCAGGTCTACTAGCAGTATCAGTAGGTGCAGCAGCCTCTTGTTCTCCTCGAGGGCCCGGAGTTTCCTGGTCAGCGTGAGCACCAGCACGACCTCCTTCACCAGCAGCAGGATCTTTAACAGAAGAAGGATGACCTTCTTTTCCTGTTAAATCATGTTCTCTTGCTTTAGATGGATCCCCACCACCATTACTACCAGATGCATCTCTGTCAGGAGAAGTACAAGTATCACCAGTATCAGCACCAGTAGATCCAGTATCAGGACATGAACCAGTAGCAGGTTTAGCGGCAGCAGCGGCGGCGGCAGCAGGACAAGGTTGGGTGCCATTAGGGCAAGAACCACTAGGACCTGATTCCGGTAAAGGTTGAATAGAAGGAACAGGACCGTCAGGCTGTCCAGGCTCACCTGCCGCCACGCAAACAGAGGCAACACTCATAATTAGAGCCAGAAAATACAATACACGTCGCAACTGCATCTTGAGAAAGAAATATTCTTTTTCCTCTTTGGTAGTACAACTGGACGAAGGAAAAAAGAATCATATAGAAAAAAAAAACAAAGAATAAGACAAACACAAACAGAACGAGAGAAAAGAATAGAAAAACAAACAGAAGTCATAAGAAACTCAAACAAATCAACATAAACAATAAAGAAAATTTTTATAGTGGTAACTTGGACAATTAAAAGCAAAATAAAAAAAAGAAAATTAAAAGCAAGACCAACTTACCCAGTAAATACACAAACCACAATGCACACCAGTCATGCTTGAGTTCCTATGTAATTATGAATATAAATAATGCATTTATTAGTTTTATTAATTCCAAGAGCAAATCATCATCAGTGGAACAGGGCACAAAACACACAACCAACCCAGCAAACAATAAGCAAACAAAAAGATATTAACCATTAGCCCAATTTATCCAAGCAAACATAGAAATATACACCAACTATGGGTGTAAGTCTATATATATGTGTGTATATACGCAATTATAAATATAAATTCATCTGTTATTATTATTTTTTTTTCCACTCAAAAAAAACAATTCATCATTATCATTACAGTGCACGCCCACAGGCACACACACACACACACAGAGAGTCTCCAAGAACACACACACACACAATGGAGTAGCAATAATAATAATTATAGGATAAACACACAGAGAGCAAAAACACACAAAACACATTAACATTAAGAAACAAAAAAAGAAAAGAAAATCCCAACAGGTGGAAGATTAGTTAGACTGTAGTGTGGATGTATGCAAAAAAAAAAAGAAAACAAAGGATGACCTGAGTCACACCACTACCACCACACCATTACAATCAGTACACAAGAATACAGGCCAGTGTAACCACAATCAGTAGTGGCACACGCACCCACACAGAACTGCTGATACTGCTGCTGCTGTCTGCATCACCCTTCTTGTTGTTTGCAGTCTCAGGAGGGAGTGTTGTTGTAGTTGTTGTTGTTGTTGTGGTGGTGGTGGTGCTTGTAGCTGTGTTATTTGTTGATTCATCCCCTGCAGGTGTACTGACACTCCCAGCATTTATATTATCAGATGCTTTATTCCCCTCTGTTTCCGCTGGTGAAGTTGATGCAGGAGTCTCAGCACCAGCAATGACAGATGATTGCAATTCACTGTTTTCTTGTGGTTGTGGATTTGGTTGAGGTGAGGATTCCGTATTAAGTTCATTATCATTCCTTTGAGTCTCTTGTTCTCCTGAGCTCGTGGGGTTGTTGACTACTTTGCTGCTTTCTTCCGTTTGAGGAGAACCAGGGATTCCTTCTTGTGCGCTTTGTTGCGCTTGGACCTGTACATGAGCTTCTGATTGAGTAGGTCCCCTATGAGTTCTATCCTCTGGACTTGGTGTTGGTCCTCTTTTTTCAATTACATCAGGGTTTTGACTCTTCAGATTATCTAAATTCTCACCTGTTTCTTTGTCTGCCCGCAGTGTATTTCGATCGTTTTGCGAAACGTCATTATTTAATCCATCTCTCGTTGCCTCAAGAGCAGGAGAAAGGTCATTCGCATGTTCATGTCCCAAAGCCACACTGCTTTCAATGGCTTCTTCCCTGTTAGGGCATTGACCTTTCTCTTGAGAACCCTCACAATTTTTAGAATGATCATCAGGTTTATCACCTTTATGAGTACACTGAGAACCACCAGAAGAATCTGGAGCACAATTATTAGAATCGAGATCAGACGTGGTAGCAAGAGCTGGAGGACCACCAGATTCAACCGCCGTTACACAAACACAACCAATGCTCACAAGCAAAGTCATCAAACAAAAGACAAAACGCAACAACATCACGACAAGAGGCCTTTTTGTTTGGGTCAATTGGCTACATAAATAAATAAAAAACGGGAAATGTGTGCAAAAACAAAAAGATACAATACAATAAAAAAAAAGAAAAAGAGAGAAAACAACACAAGAAAATCAACAGTTATTAAAGAAAAAAATAAACATTTCAGTAATGAGTCACCAAAGAAACTACTCAATGAAGAATAAACGAAATAAAGTTAATAGCTGACGGTTCCATCACAACAGAATTCAGAGAAATATCGGTTTGCTAGAGTGAATAAGCAATTATGAATATAAATGAATCTTTTATTATTTGTTTTTTTCTCTCCGCAAAGCATATCATCATAAAAAGTACGGGTCAAAGCACAATGACCAAGCAAACGAGCAAGCAAAGAAAAATATATTAACCATTAGCCCATCTTACCCCAGTAAACACAGAAATATACACCAACTATGGGTGTAAGTCTATGTGTGTATATATACGCAATTATAAATATAAATTAATCTTTTAGTATTATTTCCTTTTCTCACTGCAAAAAGCAGTTCATCATCATTATCATCACAGTGCAAGCCCAGGTGCACACACACACAGAGAGTCTCCAAGGACACACACACACATAATGGAGTAGCAATAATAATTATTATAGGATAAACATAGAGAGAGAGCAAAAACACACACAAAACAAACATTAACATTAATAGAAACAAAAAAAGAAGAATATAATCCCAACAGGTGGAATATTAGTTAGATTGTAGTGTGGATGCATGCAAAAAAAGAAGAAAAAGAAAACAAAGGATGACCTGAGTCACACCACACTACCACCACCATTACAATCAGCACACAAGAATACAGGCCAGTGTAAACACTATCAGTAGTGGCACACGCACCCACACAGAACTGTTGATACTGCTGCTGCTGTCTGCATCACCCTTATTGTTGTTTGTGGATTCAGGAGGAAGTGTTGTTGTTGTGGTGGTGGTGGTTGATTTCTCACTGGTTGATGCACCCTCTGCGGGTTTTGTAACAGTAGTTTCACTCTCATTCTGACGAGTACTGGTTTTATCCGTGGATGAACTGCTAGAGGAGGCGTCACCTGTATTCTGGGATGGAGTAACAGAAGTCTCTTGGCTGTCAGTAGCGGCTGGTCCTGTTGCTTTTGTGGTCTCTCCATTTTGTGTATCATGACTATTTCTCACTTCCTGCTGTTGCGATGGTGATTTCGCTGGTTGTGAAGATCCACCATCCCCATTATTGGGTTCACCTTTAGCTGGTGTTGGGCCATCTCCACTGGGTACCCCTGATCTATCACCATGATGAACAGGTAGTGGAGTATCAAGAGCTGGAGCAGCAACAGGAGGAAGGGGACTCGCAGCTGGTGGTTCCGGAAGTTCAGAAGAAACTTCATTTCTGTTCAGATCTGAAGAACCTAAAGTGCCTGTGCTTTCTTTTGCTCTTAATGGATCCGAGATCTCTTCTACAGCCACACCTTGTGTATCAGCACGAAGATGTGTATTTCCTTCTTGCAATTCAAGTTGAGTCTTTCCCTGTGACTGTTTATGTCCATGCACACCAACTGAGCTGTCAGTACCATTGGGTTGAAGGGCACCAGGAGAACCCAAATCACCAACACCTTTAGAATTCGGAGAATGAGGTGTTCTCTCTATACCCAACTTCTCTTTCTTCTCAAGATCTACAGTGGATGACTCATCTCTCGGTAATTCCTCTTCCGTACCTGCTTCATCAACCTCAAGCCAATCATCATCCGCAGGAATAGCATGACGAACAAGAGAAGGAACACCTACAGTAGAAGTTTCAATAAGGGAATCAGAAGCTTTAGAACTATCAGCCCATACTAACCCACAATCACAACACAGTGTAAGAGTTAGTAAACAGAGCAGGTAACACCTCACCATTACAGACTTTGTCATTGTTGATGATTACTACAAAAGACTAATACAATAAAAAGGAAGAGCAGCAATAAATTAAAATAGAAACAAACAAACATACAGCAATACAACAAATATTCACAGTGGAAAAGAGAGAGAGAGAGAAGCAACTGCACAGTAAAGCAAGAAAAAAGAATATCCCGCTTGTATAATAATAATATGTACCCATTAATAGAAAAGAAAAAGAAAAGAACCCACAATACCCAAATAAGAGAGAACCAAACACACACACACACACACACAATACCCCATGGCTCTAGTTTATGTATATTAAATTACTCCACACACACATCTGTGTACTAGCAAGAGATGTATACCGTCAGTGAGCAGAACAGCCCAGTTTTCTGCAAACACACACAACGGAAAAAAGCAAGTAATGGAATTATTATAAAAAGAACACACACATACAAGCAAGAGAAAAGATATTCCAATTAAAAGAGAAAGCTGGTAAACAGATTATTAATTTATTCACCAATGGGGGATGTACGCAATTATGATTATGTTAGTTTAACCATTATTATTATTTGTCCTCAGATGATTCCCACTGTTCATTACACGGTAGCGGAGAACAACACAGCCACAATCAGCAGCGGTGCAGCAGTGCCCATCCACACAGGATTCACACTGCTGTCAACATTACCCTTATTCTTCTGCACAATGGGTGCGATGCTGCTGATCTCTGCGTTGGGTACAAGAGATGGAGTGGTGGTTGGTTCTTCAGTGGTACTAGTAGTGGTGGTGTTGGCCGTTGAATCAGCATTGCCGATCACGTGTGAACCTTCTGTAGCAGGAGTACCTGCAGCTGCAGAAGACTGATGGGTAGGAGTAGAGTTGGCCGTTGTACTTTTATCCGTTAAGTCCTGGTTACCTTGTGGAGTCTGGCTCTGTTCTTCAACTATTTTAATAGCTCCGTCTGTGGAGTCACTCCTCTCCACGTGATGAGCAGAAGTATTATCCACACTGTCACCACCTCTACCATCTTCGGCGGACGGAGAATCGGCACGTGTTATCTTTTCTTGATCCATGTCTTTCCCAGCATCTTGTTTTTCGTGTGAAGAAGTTTCTTCAGTTGCAGATAGGAGTTCTCCTGCAAGAACCACTTCCGGTTCCAGCTGCACTGAGTTATGTTCTCCACTCGGAGTTTGTTTCTCAGGCGGAACACGTTTGCCACACGACTTTGAACTTTCAGCAGAGTCTGAGTTACATGGAATAACTTCTTCCTTATAGAGAGTTGTAAAGACATTACCTGTACAGGAAACAGTACGTGTAGAATCATTAAAAGTGCACCACTCGCTCTTACCATCACCAGCTGTCCCATTAGGTTCATTCGTAAACGCGTTAGCTTCCATGCAGAGAGAGGCAACACTCAGCAGAAAAACCAGCAAACACACAACGGGTCGCATCATCATGGAAAGAATAATTCTTGGTTGTTTTACTTCACTTTGTTAAGGAGAAACATAACAGAGAAAAAAAAACAAAAAATAAAAAAAGATCCAACACAATAGAGACAAAAAACAAATGGTGGTAAAACACAACACAACAACATGAACAGTCACACTAAGCAACACTACCAGTATAAACAATAAAGAATCCAATAAAGAGACACAGCAAAAAAAACCCGAAAAAAAAGAAGTAATGAAAAATAAATTAAAAGCACAATGAATGCCCAATAAACATACAATAAAACAGAATAATGTGTTTGATGGTGCTTATATGCAATAATGAAATTATGTGTAACATTTAATGTTTTTTTTCTTTTCTCTATTCAAAGTAGATAATCATAACACCACAGGACAAAGCACATAAAGAACCTAGCAAATCATAAGCAAAGAAACAGATATTAACCATTAGCCCAATTTATCCAGTAAATACAAGAAATACACCAACTATGGGTGTAAGTCTATTTCTGTATATATATACGCAATTGTAAATATAAATTCATCTGATATTATTATTTCTCTTCTTCCCACTGCAAAAAGCAGTTCATCTTCATCATCATAGTGCAAGCCCAGTTGCACAGAGAGAGAGAGAGAGTCTCCAAGAAAACACACACACACTTAATGGAGTAACAATAATAATTATTATAGGATAAAAACACAGAGAGAGCAAAAACACACAAAACACAATTAACATTAAGAAACAAAAAAAGAAAAGAACTCCCAACAGGTGGAAGATTAGTTAGATTGTAGTGTGGATGTATGCAAAAAAGAAAAGAAAACAAAGGATGACCTGAGTCACACCA